AGCGAGCCGGATACCCCAAGGCGATTGGTCGCTTGAGGAGGGGAGGGCGGGAGGAGCGGGTCCCGCCGCGAGGCCTGCAGGAATAGCTGGCTCCGGCTGCCACCTAGCGGACGGGAGCCGCGCCCGGGAGGCGCACAGTCGGGTCCCTCCTCCCCTCCCGGCAGGCTGCCTGTGCCTTTTCTCCAAATGAAGACAGCACTTTGAAAATTCTTTCAATGGATTTTTTTTTCCTTGAAAGATCGTACTGGGGGAAAATGATACTTCTATTAGTTACATATTCTCCAATCGCACACTCGCACCCCCCTCGTTTTGAGATCGCTCCCCTAGGCAGGCTCAGGCAGGCGTGGAGCGGCGCGGAGTGACAAAGCCGCCGCTGCCGCCGCCGGGGGTGGGAGCTGCGCCGGCCCGCCCGCCCCTCGACTCGGGAGAGCGTAAAAGTTTGTCTCAGCTCCAGCATCCCAAGCCTCAACACGCCCTCAGGTAAATGTGGGAGTAAATGGCCACGCTATATTGACAGAGGTAGGGTTTTGTTTTATTTAAATACTCGTTCTCACTTTAAATTTCACCAGGGAGGGGTTTGGGAAGCGCTGCGTGTTTGGGGTGCGTTTTGTGCTTCCCGGGTTCTCTAGCCCACAAGTCAGGAGGCGACCGCTTAGTGACGAGAGACGGTTTTAAAGAGCAGAATAAAGGCTTTTCCGTGTCTGCCCCACAGCCCCTCCAGCTCGAATAATGAAGAGACAGTACACTCTGCAAGCGGCGGCCCATTGTACGCAGCTGATGGAGAGGAGGCGAGGGGGGCCGGCAACGGCTCCTTGCTCTCTCCCCTCTCCCCAAATAAACGCTCTCAGTTAAAAGGTGAAATGAACACGATTAAAAGACGGACGAAAGAAAGAAAGAAAGAAAAGAAAGAAAGAAAAAGAAAAATTGATTAAAAGAACGGGCTTTCTATTTATAAATTCTAAATTTTACTCCCCAATATAGTACAGAGGCAGGCAGTGGAGGGCAGAGGAAGCAGGCAGAGAGAGGGAGACAGGGAGAAGGGAAGAGAACGTGGAGAGAGAGCCAGTGGAAGAGGAAGCGAGAGCGAGCGCCAGGGAACCGGAGGCCTCCTGGACACCCGGCCCGCGGGCCCAGACGCCCTCGGACCCTGGACCGGGAGTCGTGGGCACCAGATGCGAGACTCGACTAAATCCTGCCCCACCAGGCAAGTACCGCAATGATTATCGTTTCTTTTGAACTCGGGGTTGATAACGCGGACAGGCCGGGAGGCAGCCTTTGCTCGCATGGCCTCTGCAGGCTGCGGCCGCAGTCCAGTCAGCCGGTTCAGGATGAAAACAACTTTCTGCTGGGCCTGCTCCAGAGACCCTCACCAGCCTCTGTCCCGCGGCAGCGCAGAGGCCAGGATCGCGGCCGCGGCGCCGCCCTGGAGCTGAGGATCCTACCAGTCAAAAGTCAGTCAAATTCAAAACAGGTCTCCCGCACTCGCATTCTCTACCCCCACCCCCCACCAGCGGGAAACCGCTGCGGGGCTTCCAGCCTGGGGGCGGAAGATCCGGGGCGGCGGATCCACAGGTTTGGCACCCGCGCCGCCGCCTCCACTGGTGCCGAACCGGAGCCACTGGTGCCGAACCGGAGCCGTGGTGAAGCCGGCTGCGGAGTCCGCCAGGCTGGCCCTGTTGCGCGGGCCCCGCCTGGCTGCAGCCAGGCCCTGGCGAGCTCGGGTTCCTGCCGCCCACCTGCGGATGCCGTTTGTAACGGGATCCCCTAACGTAACGCGATCGATGGCTGCCTGTTTGATGTGGGCGATAGTGTCAGCGGATTAAAAAGGACACCAAACCGCTCTCCCCAGCGGAGAACACGCGGCGGCGGCGGCGGCAGCTAGGCGAGAGAGCACCAGCCCCGCAGCCCTGCCAGATTCCTCGCGCCGCAGCCAGAGGGCTGGGGGCGGGAGGGGTCACTTCCCAGGGGTGAGGGCCGAGCGGGTGTGTAAGAAGGGAAGAGCTTCAATTAAAGCCAAAGAGAGCGCTCTCCTCGGCGCTGGGCAGGGGCGCGCGTTTGCGTCAGAGGGCGCGCGGGGCGGGCGCGGGGGGCGGGGGAGCCGACGCCCGGGGCCGCGCCCGGGGGCTGGGTGGGCGCGGGAAGGAGCCAGCCAAGCAGTGCTGGCCTCGGTTCGGCCTTGCAGGCTAGGGGCAAGGCGTGGCAGAGGGCGAGCTAAGACTTCACCAGAGTGGCAGCGCCCACTCACCCTCACGTGGGCTCTTCATGCCAGCCCCCACCTTCAGCTTCCAAACTTGGAAGAGGCCCCTGGGATCGGGAGTGACCCTGGGGATGGGAAGAAGCGGAGCCCCTGAGAGGTCTCAGGCAGAGCCGCCCGCGTCTCCGGAAGGGAAGGAGGGGGTACAGCCCCTGGCCTCAGTCCCGGAAGTGGGGGGGGGCTCTGGGTGGCGGTGCCCGGAGCAGTGGAAACACTTCGCTTTGCGAAGCAGGAGAACAGAGCGCGTTCCTGCAGCGCATATGCTCAACTTTCTGTCGTGAGAGGGAACAGAAAGAAACCAAGGCTTTTCGGGGAGAGGCGCTGTCCCCTTCTTGGACTTGGCTAGCCCAAGAGGCACTCTGGGCTCAGTTTCTCTTCGGGACCTTCTTTCTGTTCCCCGACCGCTTTTGCTCATCCGCAGAGTGCCTCCACTTGTGCTCACAGCTCCACCCCCGGCAAAATGGCTTCCGTGGAGGGACCCAGGGGTCAGCTCAGGTCCTGGGGGAGCTGTGGCTTTCTCTCTACGAGGCTGTCGTTTGTTACTGGTTCAACTTGGCACACTGGTCCTGAGGCCTGGTGTGCCCCACCCCCAACCAGGAGATAGTATCTATTGTTGGGGAGGGCACCTAATAGAAAAGTGATCATATTTTGCGGTACTAAAACTGAAATTTCACACATGCGTCCAGGCACGATCAGCTGCAGAAGCAGAAAAACAGTTGGAATTCCCATCTTTCTTTCATTCATCCTCTCTTCTCCAGATCTCTCTCCGTCCCTTCTGGCCCAAGCCCTTGTTTTCTGGGACTTGTAACTGAATCTCAGTGCGTAGACTTGGCTCTTGGACCCAGATCCACTGTGGCCCTCGCTTCAGCACCCTACTTGAGACTGTGGGCATGGTAGCCATATATACGGCCCTCTCCAAGGTTTCTCTCTCTTGGTTAGGTCAATGTAGAGACAAGAAAAGCCTCGCCAGGGCCTGGACTCCGACTCACTTCTCAAGACTTTGTCTGCCCTCCTGGTCCCCATAGGCCAGTTTAGTGCATGCACAGTCTCCACCGTGGGTTTCCCAAAAGACTAGAGAAGGTACCCCTCCACTTGGGGAAGAGGAATCAGTCTGTAAGCTTACAATACCCCTTGTGGTTTGCTAGCATCATGGCTCAGCCTTAATCACTTTTTAAAAGCCTTCCACACAACACTTGTTCTTTCCTAGCTGGACAGCCAATAAACAGTTGTGACCTGGTGGGAGAAGGAGAGAAGCAGAGATCTGTGGCTGCACATGCAGTATGACTTGCATTCCAGGTACCAGAGTCCATTTCCAGGCAGACTTTCTAGTTAACACCCCCTCCTCACTATCTTTCTTTCTACTAAGGCTGGAATCATTCTTCACTAATCCTATGACCTCTTTAATATTGGCAATTTGCTGTCTCCAAACTCACCAGAACATTTATTTTGGTTTTTTGGTAAATCACAGTGAAAAAAAGGTGGCTTTGTAAAAATGTTTTCTAAATTTGGCTCAAGAGCCATGAGATCCTACAAATGACCAGATATGTGCAGAAAATTCTCTCCTATACCACTTTCTTACCCCCTAAATTGTTAAAAAAATAAAGTATTATTCTGTTTAGAGAGACCACAGAACTAACCCTGTTTTATCAAGCCCATCTGGAGAGATGAACATGCCTTCAGTTGTTAGGAGAAAGGTCAGTTCTTCTGATCTTATTGCAGACCTTTCCCAAAGAGCTTATTTTAAAGGTGCCGAATCAATTAGTCTCCCTTGGTATGAGATTAAGGCTGTGAAAAATGAAGTTGAAGAAGATGTATTTAAAATGGTCTTGCACAGATCTTTTGAAGAAAAGGGTGGAGGGCGGCACAGAAATGCCTGCATAATGTTTTGTGATTATTAAAAACAAGACCCCAAACAAACAAACAAACAAACAAAAGCCTTGCCTATGTCAGAAACCACCCCTTTTTGCAAGGCTGAACTCAGTCTGAATTGTGGCTGCCCAGCTGTAAAAAGTACTGTCTTTGTCAACATGAAGACAAGAGTGGAAAGGCCAAGCTGGGGGCTTCTGCTGGGCTGCCCGCCCTCAGCCTGCCCATGCAGTGGGAATTTGGGTCCAACAGGCTCTCGCACTCACTATCACTTTGCTGTAGCCTTAGCTTTTCTTCTTTGTCACCTTGGGGGTCGAAATGTCCAGAGATAAGTGCTTTACCGTAGAAAGCAGTTTAGTTTTCTATCACAGACTGGCCAGTTAAAGCAGGTGTTTTGGAAAAAGAGAGGTAAGGGAAACACTTGCCCTTTCTGCTGGGGCCCTAGTTAGAGGGCCCAGGAGTCGCTGTGGGGAGAGGAGAGCAAGTGTTGACGTTTGGATGCAAATCAAGCCTTTTAAGGGAAGAAGAATGACAATCATTCTCAGCACACACGTGAAGCCCGGGTCAAATATTTACTTTTCGGAAAAATCAAGCCTTAGCTATCAAAATGCATTTATGCAAAAAGAAAAAACTGAAGACTTTTGCATTACAAAATGTCGTTCTTTATTTTAAATGTTTAATTTGAGTGAAGAATAACTGGCTCTTCTTCCGGAGGAAAATGAGTTGAGTTTGGATGAAAAATGGAAGTTTTGAAATGAGTTTGAAGCTTGTTAAAGTACCTTGACAATACCACCAACTACAGTATATAATAATTTCCCTTAATAGTTACCTGTCAGAGCACCTATTTCTTTTACTACCGCATTAGCCCATTAGAAGTGGATGTGAGTTGGGCATTCACTGATTAAAAAACTGTTCCAATATACTTAAGTCTTCAAAGCCACTTTCTTCACTGCCTATAGAGTAAACTGAACTAGTGGAAAAGTATTGGCTGATGAAGTCAGCAGATCTGTTGGTAACTATGGTCATGCTACAATCCTATTTTACCTATCAGAAGTTTGATGTAAGTAATAAACCAAACATTTTCTTCTAAACTATCAGTGTAAAAATATGATTTTTACAGTGTCTTCCATCAGCAGGGGAGAGGGAGACAAGGCAAAGTTTAAGTGAAAAAGAATGAACATAGTACACCACTGATACAAACCACATGGAGCAGTAAATAATTATGCTCTCTGATGTACTATGTATATTTTATTTACCCACTTCAGAGTTGGACAATAAACCTCACCCATCTATGGGAAGAGTTAATAAAGTATTCCAAGTGCATGATCTAACAAAACTCAGCAATAGTTCTATGTTTTATTGTTAACCCTTTGCATGAAATCTTCTGAAGCTGAAAAGAAAAAGGAAAGGGCTTTTGTGTTAGTTGATCCTTGGCTATTCTAGGGCTCAGGTTGGTGTGAAAGGGATGAGGAGGTCACTTGAAATCTCCTTTTATCTACTCTTATTTTCTCTCTGGATCAGCAACTTTGAATAGACATCATCTAATCGCTCTTAATGGAAAGAAACTATGGGAGCAATGAAAATGCCTTTACTCCAGAAGTGAATACATGTGTGCTGTGCGGACAGCTAGCTGAGCTTGCATAGGACTACATCTCTGCACACATGTGTTTAGAGATTTTTCAGGCTATGTGGATGTTCACATAAATGCTTCCCATACATTCTGGGTTGGGGATTGATTGAGTGGGTTATTTTGCCTTTACATGTAAGTTTGCACACACACTCACGTTCGGATTCTCCACCAAGCCCAGGTGATACTTTTAGCTGACTCTTTTTTCAGCTTTTTCTTGCCTCCTCTCTCTGGGATGTCATATTTAAGTCCTGAAAAAAAGCAAATAATTGAAGACATGATGGACAGCCTTTTAGTGAAGATGTCTTATTTCCTTTCCGTTTTCAACTGGAAGCCACACTGACCGGAGGATTTCTCTTCAGAGGGAGGAGATTGTGTGACAGGTGGGAGGTGATGGGGTAAGATGACACCATTACTTTCGATTTCTCCCCAGTATTTTTTTCTTTTTGGTTTTTCT